TGTTAGCGTCTGACTTTGTATGAGCATTAAGATTTATTTAGCTCCCCACTAAGTCCCCCTCTGCCACTTGAATTTATTGTGGAGCAAATCATCAGAACCTTTCCTGCCAAACAAAAGTATATAACGATCAGTCCTATTAATCATCACATTCGCTTATTCTTCTGACATAAGTGTTACTGACAGAACTACAGTTATTCAGAGACGCTTCAAACTGTAGGCTTATATGGATGCAAGCTTCAATCTGTAAAGTCAGATTAAAGGTTCCCCACAACTCTCTCTTAAACAGATGATCTACTTTGTGGATAATCTCGTAGACACTATCAAGTTCTACCACAGCCTCCTAAAGAACAATGGCAGGTTCATGATTATCATTGAAGCAGGTACGCAGAGCTAGTAATGAGTTTTTCATACAGATTTCTGTCCGTCTTCCTCCAAACCTGTGTCTTAATCGTTATTGAAAACAAAGACAAGTATTTTTTCTGCCTTCTACTTTGTTTAACCTTCGCTGAAACTTATTTGTCTTTGTGCCGGAAGAAAAGTACCCTCTTGGGTTTTTGTGTTGAACGAACATTCAGCAGATGTCCAGACTCACAAGGAAAAAGGTGGACTGTTGAGGCTATCAGCCCTCTTGACTGTTAGTTAAGATTATAAGATAACAAAGAGTTTTTCTTGAGTCAAACAAAATTAATAATATCTGCTATTGTCAATATTTTTCTTCTGGAATTAATGTATATTTTAATCTCATACCATCTAGATAACAGCAGCTGGGACATCCTGTGGAGCACTTACACAAAGGAGCTCTGTGGCAGTGTCTTTACAGAGTGGCGCACATCAGGAGATGTTATTGCCTGCCTGAAGAGCCAGGGTCTGAAATATGAGGAGCACACATTTCCCAACCCCTTTGACATCTCTTAGTGCTTCAATCCAAGCAGTCAGATTGGGGAACGTCTGCTGATTTCTTCGCAGTGAAAGATAACTTCTACCAGTCCTTCACCCCAGAGATCAGAGCAGGCATGTTCGACCTTCTCAGAAACAAGTGCAGCACTGAAAAAGATGGAAAAGTGTTCTTCAACAGTAAAGTGAGCTGCATACTTGTTTGTGAAACACTTCAAACTGTGGGCTGGCACGGATACAAGCTTAAATCCAAGTGCAGATTAAAGGAAAAAATCATCTCAAAAAATAACACACATCTGTGAGTAGATGCAAGCTTTCCTCTGCACAGTGAAATGGCTGGCAGGTGTAGTTAGGTAAAAAGAAAATAGTTCCCACATGAAAAGCCTCTCAACAAGGTCTATGGACTATTTTGATTAACTGAATCATGATTTCTGGAAAGTGACAATACTGAGTGCCATTTAGTTTCATTGAAGGTTCCCCACAACTCTCTACTTTCACAGATGATCTACTTTGTAAAGAACCTCTCCAGTATTATTAAGTTCTATCACAGCCTTCTGAAGAACAATGCAGGCTTATGATCATCGTTGCAGTAGGTAAGGAGTAATGCTTTACTGAGGACTGTTGACTTTTCTATGATATCATGAGCGAGAGACTCTCTAGACTGTAACAAAATTCTTAATAGTAATAGTATTTATTGTTGCTAGTATATTTCTTCTGAAATTAATGTATCTTTCAATCTCACATTATGCAGATAACAGTAGCTGGGATACAGTATCCTGTGGAAGACTAACAAAGGAGCTCTGCACTGATGGCATCACAAAGTACACATCAGGAGAGATTAATGCCTGCCTGAAGACTCAGGGTCTGAAATATGAGGAGCACACCTTTCCCCAATCCTTTGACATCTCTGAGTGCTTCAATCCAAGCAGCCAGACTGGGGAACGTCTGCTGAATTTCTTCACAGCGACAGATAACTTCTTAACTAATCTAACTTTTTAAATGTATCATTAGAGAACAACTTAAACAAGTCTTTACATTGTTACTTTTGTTATCACATCACTACTGACTTCAAACACAACAGTCGCAACACTGGACTCATTTTTAGTAATCGTCACAAAGCAGCAAGCTAGTTGGAAACGCTCACCTTAGAGGCTGGAAAATATTCCCATTACTTTGATTTTGTCAGGAGGAAAGATGACAACAACACTGTTGCTGCAGGTAGTGGTACTAAAACTCTTTCCACTGCAAAAAACACTTGATCTCTGATCTGAAACACCTACTACGACCGACAGCACAACAACATGAAGCTCCAGGAAATACACCCCACTGCGGAGGTCGGCTGTAGCCCTACACTGGCTGAACAACCAAAAATGTATTTTTGGTTGTTCAGCCAGTTGTTCTTTTTTTTTAATTTGTATCATGGACAGCTGCAGCTACAAAGAAGTATGTCTAGTAAGATAGCTGGTCAACAACAACACAGTACCACACAGCTCCTCAAGTCCTGAGTGGTGAGGAAAGAGCAGGCAATCCTCAGTCAAGATCACCCTCTATGGTGAGCATGCACAAGGTTTTAAACAAAGCCTTTTGTTATGATAAGTGTGTCACTTGTATTTTTTGATTGCTGGTGATATTGTTTGATGTTGCCCTTTAACTGTAATGTCTTCCAAGATAAGATAAGCCTTTATTGATCCCAAGACAGTAAATTTAGGTGTTGCGGCAGCACAAAGACAGAAGTAAGTAGAAGGGAAGTAAAAGCATAAGTAGCAGTAGGCCTACTGCTGCTAACTGGTTAGCTCTGTCACCACATGAGCTAGCCTAGGGCTGAATCCAAATGCCCGCACTTCAACGTACTTGCAGGCTCCAGTCTACAAGGGGCCTCAAGCAGATTTTCTGTAGACTTTAAGAGAGTCCACTTGGGGTGCAGACAGGCCCCAGGGCAAGCCGCTCACCCTTGCAGCAAATATTTCCCGGTGGCTACTGCAGTGAGAAAATCCCCTGCGGCCCAGAAAGTATTTTCCCCATTGGCCACCATTGTAAAAGAGACGTCTGTAAAAGTGTTGACAGGACACCTTGACATGCTATAGGTCTATTATGAATCTTTTTATTCTGAATTTTTTAGCCATTGTGGTTTTATAGATGTAAAACATTCCCCAAGCTGAACAAAATAGATTTCAAAATCTGTGACACCATCACAATGTAAAGTCTACGAGCCAACAGGAACATATTCAGAGGGCCACAATTTAACCCAGAAGCTAGAAACCTTTTTTAATATGTGCCAGGCAAGCAACTCCACTGGAATGAAAAGCTTTATAAGCTCAAGAAGGAATGAAAATACATTTTATTTTTGTAGCCTAGGCTGCTCAGTGTAATAGGGTAGAACATTGGCTAAAAAACAACAAAAGAAGGGCCTCTAAAATAAGCAATTCCCAATTTTTCAGTCATAGTCGTGTCCTTATTTACAAAGATTTCTGTTTTTGACAATGTGTAACCAGTTATATAGAGATGTATGAATATATCTTTGTTCAGTCACAAAAAAGCTACACATTATATCTTATCTGCAGGGACAGATGAGCAGACACTGTCCTTGGACTTATATGACATTAAGGCTATATAAATATGACAACAGCAATAGTTGCCGTTTGAACGTTTCCACTGCAGCAAGTGAAACAGACTTGAGGTCTGTCTGTCAGCGGCTTGCAGTCTCTGCCTTCACAGACTTTAAGTGATGACAGTGAACACGTCACAGTACATACAACTGAAGTCTGCGAGGGCTCGGTCCGCAAGCTGAGAGGGTGATAATTTGGGTTCAGCCTAGCACTAGTGGTTTCACCTGCTGAGAAGTTGTCACTCCGCTGGGCTCAGCCTGTTGCTCCTCCTCATTTCCTGAATCCAGCAGAGTGCTGTTATTGTTATCACTGATGCTAATATTAGAAACAGTGTAGCATCAGCATCAAGTACTTTTTCCTTGCTGCATCTGATCTTTTCTGCTTGACCTTTTGTTTGTTTTTTTTTAACAAATGTATCCATCTAATTTGCATTTATATTTCACATACTCCGCTTTTCCTGTCTTGATTTCATTTATTTCCCACTTGTCCTCTCCTGCTCAACCTCTGACATTACATGATGAACTGATCCACTTGAAGGGGTGGAGAGAGGCAATGACGGCCGGTACTACTGCATCTACAGTATGCACAGGCTTTTGACAATTTTGGGACCATGTAAGCCCTAATCAGATAGGCTGTTCCTACATCAAGTGGGCCGCAGACAGCAGGTCTTTCTATTCTTTGTTTTTCCCTTCACAATTTTTGTCCTTTTTCCAACATTGCTTGTGTTGGTCTTGTGGCCCATAAGGTGAGCTGGCCCACCTGACATTTGCCAGAGTTGCCCAACGGCCATCCTGAGCCTGATAAGAGGTATATATTACTAGTAGAAGAATAGAAGTAAAACTATAAAGGATACAACAGCAATTACTGACAAAGTCATGCCATAAAGTCACAATGGTGTCATCAAGTCTGGTGGACAGCATTTATGAGAATAGTATAATGATACTATTTCAACTAAGTTAATCTTAACACTGTAAACTCATTCCTGTTGAAATTCATTAGTTGCCAGTATTCCTATATTACACTTCTATTTATATTCATATATATTCGACTGGTCATTCGTTCTGCTATGCACTTCAAATACCAGATGCCTCTTAGTCCAGGGCTCTGCTGGAACTGTCCCCTCTACATCTCTTTTATTCTACATTCTACACGTGTGCTTTTATTTATATGTATGTAAATATGTACACATGTATGTATATATGTGTGATGTGTATATATTTTTTATCTTTATATTTTTATACTTGTAAGTGTCTGATGGCACCTTGGAGTTGTGAGAAAGCGCAATTTCGTTCCCATGTACTATGTGTGTGAAAATGACAATTAAGCTGAATTTGAACTTTTATTTTGGATTCCTGTTAAATAGTGATAAGGATTACTCTGTAACAGCCACTGTATTACAACATCAACTGGAATCTAACAGCACAGCTGCAGCTGGGTCTGATGTATAGGCAAAGTTCATCTTTCAAGAGTTACGTAACAAGGGTTATATGAGGACAGCCACGCAGCCTGTGGGAGGGGAGAGTAAATCTGCAACTTAAAAGTGGGAAAAACAATTGACTCTCTGTCCTCACTCTCGGCATACTCCAGGTAACTGATGGATACTTTCAATGTATGATTGAAGTTTACCATAGTTATTTAAAGTTAGTTTTTGAATTCTTTTGCATGCATGCACAAGTCATTGTTATTTGTTTGTTTTAAAATAGCTATGTGTAATGCATTGCAGGAATCAGTCATGGCTGCAGAAGCAAAGCAGTCTTGTTACGAGGGAAGCTCTGTCCAAAGCTTCCAGTTTTACCTAGAACACTCAGGAGAACACGAGGCCATTCTCAAGTTTGTTCACAACAGCCTGCCAGGAGAATTTAAAAGGTACAAGAAGGAAGGCTGGGAGTGCTGCACTGCACTTTGTCCCATCTTTAAACTACTTTTGCAGCATACCAGTAGAGGTTGTTGGTGTCTTCTTTATGTCTTTTTTTATTGGGTTTTCCAACAGACCATAGTTAAACAAAGGAGCATATTATGCAGATGTACATATAGTCGGTCAGTTATAATCGTAGTATAATATTTTTTAAAGGAAGGTGAAGAGTCAACAGTTTAACTGGAAATTCTTTATGTCTGTTTGTGCAGTTTAAGACAAAGGATCAGCTTCCTCACCTTGAGTCTTTCCTTCATGACTTCTCTCATATGTTTGAAAATGTTCTTTCAAAGGTGGTGAAATTGGTTATTAAGATTAATGCAGGAACAAAGCTGGCAGTAGTGCACAGCTTTGTTACCACTTTTGCCTGATTTTTCATGGCTTTTTGACTTTGTTGGGCTTCCATCTTGTACAGACTTGAGAGTCTGCACTGTGTTAGAATAAGCAATGATTCTTACTAATAATGACATTCACAACTGCTTACAGGTTACACTGTAGTTTCTCATTTGACCACTGTAACTGTGACTGTCTGTAACTGGAGGGATGTGTATTAATACAAATGGATTGAAACTACTGGTAATGGACCTGAGGAGTGAGACACTGCAGTTTTGAATTTCTAACTTTTTTAATTTTTTAAGTCAGAAAACTCACCAATTTGGCCAAGAAACAAAAACATGATATATATATATACATTAAAAACAAAAAAACAAAACAAAACATATATTTTAGTTTTCATGTACTGTTATGTGTTGATACAGAATTGCAGCTGGGAAAAGTAGCCTGGATGTTCTTGGTGTCGGGAGTGGTGGAGGTATGTGATCAGATAAAACAACTGCCAACTGTTGGCTAAACACATGTAATTTAGCAGTTTTTGTTCAGTAACTCACTGAAGTGCATTATGGCAAAAATCCATGAGTGCATCCATGTGCTAGTTATGTGTTTAAAGAAGCAGTTTTATGTAAAGACCAGAGGGAAATATACTGTTCCGTGAGTTTTAAAGTAATGGTGCCATTGAATTTTACTTAATTTTCACTTTTTTTTTAAAAGTCAGATTTACTGTTATCAGTCATATATAGAGGCATCACTGACGGGTTATAGGAGGACATATTGGTCAGAGAGTTTGTGTGCACCACTCAAGGTTTTATTGATTGAGGTTTTATTTATTTAGGACATAGATAACATGATAACACACACACACACACACACACACACTGGACCTAGATATACTCTAATTTACAGCTCAACCTGAAATTAATTTTTTTATTTATTTTTTTTTTTTTATAAATGTTTGCAATATTCCAAACAAATTAATTTTGTACATGAGGCTTTCACATTGAAGCAGCATTACACTGTGGCAGTAGGATTTCTGTGTCTAAAAACTTCCTGGTTTCTCCCAGGGGAGGTGGACGTCCAGATACTCACTCTACTGCAGTCAACAGTCCCTGGTGTCCCAATCACTGTTGACGTTGTGGAGGGCAGCTCTCAGCTCACAGACAACTTCAAAGGTATCGACATTTCATGACCCCACATGGTGAAATGTTTTTGTTAAATAATTTCTAGATTTCTATTTGCGCATTCTCATACACTGTATACATATATCTCAATGTTGTTGTTAATCCCTTTTTTATGTCCAACTTATAGCTCTGGTAGCAAAGACCACCAACCTTCAGAAGATCCCATTTGCTTGGCATATCATGCACAGTGAGGACTATGAGAGGCAAGTCAAAGCAAAAAGAGACATGAAGAAATTTGACTTCATACACATGATTCAGGTATTATGACCTATTCTGATTTTTGGATATTCAATTCAAAATTGATGTAATGACAAGAAAACTTAGGGATCACTTTTTTTGCCTTGGGGCTTTGCATGTTCTGTCCATATTGTCTTGGTTAACCCTGTGATAGTAAGGCAGAAGAAACAGTGCTGTTAACAGCTGGGAGAATGTAAGTGTCTCACTTTATGTGAACAATAAGGTTTTTTTTAAGTCCCCAATAAGTCCTCTTCTGTGGCTTGAATTCATTTGGGAGCAAATCAGCTAAACATTTTCTGCCAAACAAAGTGTATAACGATCAATGCTATTAAAAGTCACATATGCTCTTTCCTCTGACAGAAGTGTCCCTGACAGAACAAAGGTTACAATATTGTAACCCTAGTTCTATTAGAACAGGCGGAGCCCTCTACTACACTCTCTGTGTAATACTCCTCCAATCACGGGCATGCATTTGCACACTGAATCTGAATAAATGTATCCAGATTCAGTGTGCAAATGCATGCACACTGAAACTGAATCTGAATAAATGTATCCAGCCAATCAGATGGTACTCAAGGCCTTGGTGAAGGATCCCTTCCAGCCTCTGGAGCAGTCCTCTCTGAGGGCGTTGTCATTCAAGACAGCTTTGCCGCTTGCATTGACTTCAGCTAATATATCGTGTGAACTAACCGTCCTATTGGTGCACCCCAGTTGCTTGCTGCTTCGTGTTGACTGTAGTGGGGCTTCTCTCAGACCTAATCCCTCCTTTGTTCCCAGGACCATAAGGAGTTCATTCAGATCAAGTGATACAGTTAGATGCTTATTGCCTTGCAACCCGTGAAGGGAGGCAAAATTGCATCTGCTCTGCCCAGTTTGTGTGTGTTGGCATGTTGTGATAAATGCACAGCCCCCATCAGATGCACTGAGCAGCTGTTTGAGGTCTGTCTGTTAGCGGCTTGCAGTCTCTGCCTTTGCAGGCTTATAGTTATGACAGTGAACACATCACCACATCACAGTCCATACAACTGAAGTCTGCAGTCCGGGGATTGTGTGGCCATTAAGGCCCTACCTATGAAATGCCTTGCAAGATGGCTTTATGAGTGCATCTCCCAAGCCTGCAGGCAGGCGGGCAGGGACCCTTCCTCTGTGGTCCTCGCACACTCCACACGTGGTATGGTAGTGTCCATAGGGGGGTGAGTGTTGAGGACACATGCACAGCAGCATCATGGTCTATGCCCTGTCCATTCAAATGATTCTATCTCTTGAACATGTCAGGCTCCTTTTCATTGTCTGTGCTCGTTTGAAAGACACAGGACTGGTGAAAAGGGTTGGGTGTATGTCAGCTGTGGTGCACCTGACCCCCCTCTGGGAATGATACACCTACATGTTTCCATGCTCCTTGATGACCTGAGAAATGTGGTGTGTCTATTGCTTGTCTTTTGACCCCTGCAAGATTAGGCCAAGGCTCTACCCAGTTAGGTTGCTTACCACCTGGGTGAGCTGGGGCCCCTTTCTTCTCTGCTGTGGCAGCCTAGGTTTTAGAGAAGCAGTCCAGCTATGTTGAATAACCTTAAGCCAGTCAGGATCAGTGTAGCTGGATCGTTGTTATGTTGTGACAGGGCATTCATTCCATCTGGCTCCACCCACTGTACCCATAGAGTCCAGCAGAGGGCGGAGCCTGTGTGAGATAGGACAAAGGTTTCAATATTGTAACCCTAGCTCTATTAGCACAGTCTGAGCTAATATAGCTAGGGTTATAATATTGAAACCTTTGTTCTATCTCACACAGGACAAAAGTTTCAATATTGTAACCCTAGCTCTATTAGCACAGGCTGAGCTCTCTACCTAGGAGTTCTGTCACTCCAATGCTGCTCGCTGAAGAGGGTGTAGGGTGAATGCTGGTGGGCGAACCACCTCCTTAAATACTGTGGGTTCCGTACGTTCAGGCAGACACGTCCTGACTGACTGGCTACATTTATTCAGATTCAGTGTGCAGATGCCTGCTTATGATTGGAAGAGTAGTATTACCCATAGAGTCCAGTAGAGCGCGGAGCCTGTGTGAGATAGAACCACATGATAATTTATGAAAAACACTCAACAAACTGTGCGTTTGTTTGGATGCAAGCTTCAATCCAAAAGGTCAGGATAAAAGTTCCCCACAACTCTCTCCTCAACAGATGATCTACTATGTGGATAACCTCGCAGACACCATCAAGTTTTACCACAGCCTTCTGAAGAACAATGGCAGGCTTATGATCATCATTGAAACAGGTAAGTAAAACTAAGTTCTCAATAGTGCTTCCTGTCCATCATCCTCCTAACTTGTGTCTTAATTTCTATTGAAGAGCAAAGACATTTATCAATCTGCATCATGCTTCATTCGCCCAGGCTGAAACATTTATCTGTTTTTGCTGGAAGTATGGTGCCTTCTTCGGTTTTTCTGTTGAGGATTGTTGATGCTATCAGACCTCTTGATTGCTCTATAAGAACCATAGATGACTCTTTCTCTTAGATGAGTCTCTGTTGACCTTATCTTAACAAAATAACAGTGTCAGTGTTATGTTGTTGTTTGTCAATATATTTGCTTTGTAATTATTGTATTCTTTAGCTAACGGTGGCTGGGACACCCTGTGGAAGACTTACAAGAAGGAGCTCTGTGTCCAGGACATCACAGAGTATCGCTCATCGGGAGAGGTTATCGCCTGCCTGAAGAGCCAGGGTCTGAAATATGATGAGCACCCCATTCCCAACAGTTTCGATATCTCTGAGTGCTTCAATCCAAGCAGCCAGACCGGACAACGTCTACTGAATTACATGACAGCGACAGATAACTTCCACCAGTCCTTCACCCCAGAGATCAGAGCAGGCATTTTAGACCTTCTCAGAAACAAGTGCAGCACTGAAAAAGATGGCAGGGTGGTTTTCAACAGTCATGTGAGCTGCATTCTTGTTCATGCCTAAGTTTGTCCTATGGAAAAATGTTCATACATTCTGATTCCCCCTCTTGCATTAACTTTACCCTGCCATATGATTAAAAAAAGTACAGGATATTTGCCTGTTGGTAAGGTTAAGATAACCATGTGCAGATGTATTCACCTCATTCACTCTGTATGTGTACCAAAATGATCAGTAAAAAAAACAATTCAATTACTATTTGGTGATAAAATCACTTCTACACTTAAATAGTAAATCTACTGTATATGAAATCACTCATCAGAGAAGTGACAATTAGCCGAATCCAGTGGCATAACATGCATTTGATTAACCCTGGGGATTTGAATTATTGTTAATGTTTATAAATGAAATGATGAATCAAAGTTTCACTGTTTACTAAAGAAATATTTCAACTTAATATCAGTTGTAAATAAGTGAATTTAAACGAAATACAGACTACAGAAACAGTATAAAAAAATTATCTTGAGAAAATAATACACTGAATATAACTTGCATACTACAACTTTGGAAGTGATAAAACACAATGGCTGTGTCTGAAATCTCATTTTCTACTCCATGTATGAGAGACATACAACAATTTACATTCAGCTGCAAACTGAGTTGCAAGTTTTGTTCACATATATTATCCTGTATCCCTTAACAACAGAAAAAAAATGATATTGTCCACAAGATGGAGCTGTACACTGCATACATCAGTATGGTGCAATTTTAAAGTAGGCAATGAAGATCTGGGGACAAGAAAAGGGAACAATGAGTCTGCATCACAAACAGGATGATGTGCTACACACCTGCAGTGGACTGTTGCCTGTGAATGCATAAAACAGAAGGAAGCTGGGCATTTCCAGCTTAGTTCAGAACTTTATAATAAGGCATTCAACCATGTTAATAAGGAAATAAAGGCAAGCAACAGTGAATGTGGACAGCTCAATAGTTTAGTTAGTACACCAATGTTTTTCTAAGGTCAGATACCACTCTCTTGTCTGCGGGGCAAATGTAAATCATCAACCAGGGGAACTGTTAGGTAACCAAATCCACATGCACCTCTAAAGCTCACATAAATTTGAACAAATACTGGAAATGTTGGTTTTTGTTGCATTAGGCTGTACAAAGATGTGTACAAAGGGAGCTTGATGCATTTTCTTAGGGAAATTCCAAAAAGAAATACCAAAATATCGAATGTCATGGATGTAATTCTCTTGTTTTGTTTAATCCACTTCAGCCATCTTTTTATCTATCAGTTTAAGAAAAAAACTGATCTGGAGTTGTACTCATGACCAACTTTTTATTGGGTTGTTTTAAGGCTTTAGGCTGTGAGTGCTTGATAATGAAATGCCATGACAAGTAACACCAGATACATCTGCGTTTTGACATCACCCACACTTATATCCATTGCAAACCCACAAACTGAGATTATAGCTCATCACAAAGTCAATGAAAAAGTGTTAACCCTTTGTTACCTGCACAGTACTACAATATGCTCAGCCAGCTGGATTGTTGTTTGATTCTACTGTGGTTGGTGAACCCTGCTCTAGCAGCAACATGGTAAGTCAAGCCATGATCTTATGAAAAACTAACTACAATAATACTGTGGCCCTGGCAGCAAGGCCAACCTGTGATGGGCCTCGCCCTCAAAATAAGCTGTGTCTTGTGCTACACTCAACATCGCTCATGTGCGTGTCTGTACTGGATACGAGAGAAAAAGCTCTGTTTCTCTCTCTGTTCAGCTCACAGTCCTTTTGTTACTTCTGACAGGTTGTCTGTCCTTTGTTCCTGTTTTGCATCAACAACCTTAATCAGCCTTATATCAACCTTAATCAGTGGTATCACAGCTGTTCATTTACTGCTTATGCCGAACCAACACTTCCTGGTGCTGCTGCAAGGTAAACAACACCTTAAAAACGTGTTTTCTTGTGGAAACCCATTTGCACTGCGCCAGCATGACTCACACGTTTACAGATGATCTTGGCTCAACTCGAGTTAGATCATCTATCTCTACTTCCATTATCATTATATCATTAATGCTAGTTATGTAGCCCTGCTTGGGAGTGCACGCTCACTCATTGGGTCCCTAAACAGGGCTACTAACTAGGTGGTAGCTAGGTTCAGTTTGTGACCAAAACAAATGATCTTTTAAGGCATATTTGAAATCAGACTGATTGTTTTATTAGAAGTTTAGAGCACCTTTGGTTGTCTGGAGGGACAACTATAATGCTTATAGATGTCCAATATAAATATCGCCAGAGAGAGAGCTAATTTAGTCATGAAAAGAACATTTTTAAAACTTGAGCATCCCTGTGATGCTGTTCACCATGACGCCAGCAGATGGTACTTCATGTCTGAGAATATAGCTGATCCTGTTTCTGCGCTCCATTGCAATATCTCCAGTAGATGGCACTCTGACCTTACTTTTAGATATGGCACTACAGCCAAGAGTGAGAACACTTGACTCTTATTAAACAAAACCCAAAACAGTATGCCTAATGTGTGGAAAATAATTCATTTAGTGCCACTTGTTATTGGACTCCTGTACTTTCTGTTCCCACTCAGCAAGCTAATACGAACACATTTCCAACAGTAGCACAAACACACAGTGTCTGCTGTGGCTGCACGCGCACACAATCACGTCAAACCGCAGAGGTCTTGTCTCAAGCTCTCTTGCAAATGTATTCTGGCTGCTCATTTACCTCATTAGCTTTAATAGATCAGTAATTGAAATTCATCAAAAATTCTTGTCAGTGCACTCCCCCCTGATGTCAGTGGGCTTTCAGCACCTGCTCAGGCTCCATTACCGGGGGTCCTCGCTGGGCCCTCTCATACCACAGAGTGACAGAGCATTAGTCACAGAGATAATCAACCTCAAGACACTGTTTGCCACTAATGCTTTTCAAGAACTATTTACTTCACATGCCAGTTGGTGTCTTATCATAGAAGACGTTTCTGCTAGATAAATGTGATGAAATGTTCACAGATCACCTTGTTTTCGAGGTGACTGATTATACTTAAGAGTGCTGAACAGCTGGATATTTTCATATTGTTAGTTGCATATTATTGTTATTTACCGCTGCCTGCTTTTTGGCTGATGGTATAATGACATGCTGCGTCTCCCCAGAGTGTGTGATGTACATTCAGTTTTTCCTATGATGCTCATCGGCTTTGTATCAGGCAGGCAATGCTGTAAAAACAGTGGTCGGGTCATGAAATACTGAATCAATAAATACTTTTTTTTACCACTGTGTACAGGTCAGATCTTGCAGCTGTGCCAAAATGTTGGCACGGTTGTGAGAAGCATCCAGGTGAAAGCCTTCTTCAAAAAAGAGTCAACTTTCTTCAGTCCATCTGGCCAGCTATCAGAGCTGAACCTCCAGCCTCCGGCTCTAAGGGTGCTCATCAGTGTACCTTCACACTGACTGTAATGAGGAAACAGGCCATGCGTTCAAAGCGTGAATATATTTTTATTATTTTGTCTTGACCCTAATATGCTGTTATTTTTTTTCATCATTTTATAATGTAGTGATGCACACCGTATGTGCAACGTGCAACATGTGTTTGTAGGCCTAGGCTTAATTGAAAATGTATAGACTACAAATGTCTTTGCAGCATGTCTACCTATTTCCTTTCAGTGCTGAGGCTTAGTGCAGAGAAGATACTTGACTTCTGGTGAGCCAAGGTTGACTTAATTCTCCTGGAATAAATGGAATAAATTTAGAGTTTTGTGAAGGTTTGGTGTCAAAAGGACACAAAAAGCAAGACATATTAAAAACTTGCATAAAGCATTTTTCTTTATAATATTTAACACACACTTGACCCTCCAAACATCTTTACACCAACTAACACCTTAACTGTACAGAACAAAATCATTAACAATATGAAAGTGAAGAATATTGCAATTTTGACGCTGCAGCATGTACTCCATGCTGATTACAGAAAAAATAACATAAAAGCTGAAATGATGCACCGGTAACCTTCATCAGTTGTGACATTATTTGCCAATCATTTTTCATCTCTAAATTTTATGTAAACAAATTACCACCCTTAATATCAAATCTAATAATCTAATCCTGGTTAACATCTGCACATTTGTGATGTCACTGCCTTATTTTTAAAGACAAAACAGTGATGGCATTTTGGTATTTTTCTAAGCTGTATATAACTGACTCTTCAGATGTCTATCTTCTATAATATGGGTCCTCTCCTCTGTATGGCGAGCCAGGCCGGAGGCGTCTTCTATCAGCCATCATGTCAGTGTGCAGACCTCTCTGAGACCAGAGCAGGACATACACTGGCCCTAAAATACATCACACACACTTTAATGGGTAGAGGCTGCGGCTGGCCCGTGAAATATAGCTCTGATACCAGTCCTGTAAATGGCTAGCCTCTGCGGCGTATTTCATTCTGGAGAATTAGTCCTGTTTAGCAGCTGCTGTTATATAGCAGCTGTCCTCCACAGGTCTGAGTCCGGCAAAATATGGCTGTTTGATTGACAATTCCAAGGATTTTTTTTCTTTTCCTCTTAAAATTCTGTCCCACATCAGTCAGATCACTATAAAACAAGGTTGAAGGAAGTTGCAGAATTCTGTCTTTTTCTTTCTCTCAATGAGGTTGAATTGTGCTGCGGAGAAGTGATCTCATAGCTTTGCAAGTTTAAATCAATCCAAGGCGACTCACCACAAATCAGAAAGGGTGGAATGGGTTTACCTTTGTCTGTCTCATTAATCTAGTAATTCAAGGCCTTATAGTCTGATTTTCGGGACTGTTCCTGTGGGTGTGAATATGGAGAGCTGCTACAGATAAGCAATGGCACCATATTTATTTTTGCATGCCACATATTGCACCATTAGTGTGAGAGATAAACCAGGCCAAAAATGCCACTAATTGACCCCTTCTGTTCATATCGTGATCAATTACAGATAACACAACACATGTAGTGAATTCATAAATTATATATTCCAGTTCAGGCCTTTTTGTTTTCGTGCTGCAACTGTGAAACTTCTCCTGATGAGAGGAAGAGTTCAAGCAAAAAATAGTCGACTTCAGAAGAATTTTCTACGTGCCTGACAAACGGCGATAACAATTTTGAGAAACAACTTGATATTGACTCTAAGCCATGCTCTTTTAAGCCCATATTTGCTCATTTGATAAAAGTGACAGTGACTCTCACTGTCACTTGTTCACTTTGTCAACTGAGAGAGTTCCTGAGGGTAAGATCCTCGTTAATTACACTCAGTGACGTTTACCCTTACTAAACGCCCCAATTCCCCTCACATGGTGCAGTGTTCGGGGCTGTGCTTGTCATTTACTGTTGTGAGATGTGGAATAAAAAAAGAAGAAAGCCTTATGTATTGTCAGTTTTATTGCTCATGTAGTTTATGCTCAGATTAATGAGGTTAGATTAATATATTGGTTATTAGTAATGTCCGTTTATCAACTGACAGAGCTTCCTTCATGACATTATGGAGGGAAAGTATTTCTAAAAACATGTTCTTTTATATGATTATATAATTATGTAACACCAGGTTCGGTGAGTCATTCCAT